ATCCCAGCGAGAGGCTCCCCCCCCGCCCCCCCTCCAGCGTGGCCACAAGCAGGAGCTGGTGGTGGAAGGAGAATTTGGCAGGGAAGGAGCTCCTGCCCCCGGCACTGGGCTATTTTTGGCCCAGGATTTCCGGAGAAGCGCGTGGTTTCTCTGCCTGTGGTCCCACTGCCTGTGGTCCCCACCACATCCCTCCTCCTGAGGAAAGCCTGGACCCACTGCCTGAGTGTCACGGGGTTTTCCACCCATTGCCCAGCTCCTGGTGGCCTCCTGATGTCCCTTGACCCTGGTGAAGCTGGCTGCTCCTCAGCCCCTGCTCCAGGTAACGTGCCCTAAAACATGAGCCCTGCATTCCTGGTAGTGCCTGTCCCCCACACCCCTGGCCATAGTCCCCCCAGCTCCCAGGCATCACCCCTGCAACCCCCCAGGTATCATCACTGCAGCCCCTGAGCATCACCCCTGCAGCTCCCTGGGAATCATCCCTACAGCCCCCTGGGCATCATCCCCACAGTCCCCGGGGCATCACCCCAGCAGCCCTTGGGCATCACCCCTGCGGTTCCCCGGGCATCGTTCCTGCAGCCCCCCCAAGGCATCACCCCAGCGACCCTTGGGCATCATCCCCACAGCCCCTGGGCATGGTGCTAACAGCCCGTTGGGCATCGTTCCTCCAGCCCCCTGGGAATTGCTCCTGCAGCCCCCGGGCGTTGGCCCCAGCCCTGCCTCAGAGCCCTCCCCAGGCAGCAGCAGCAGCAGCAGCAGCAGCAGGGCAGGGCAGGGCAGGGGCAGGAGAGGAGGGGGGGGGTCCCTTCACCCTGCAGAGTACTGGCCAGGCACAGAGGATGCCCTTGTATTCCCCAGCACCCACTGCTGCTTGCACACAGACCTGCGGCCCCCGGGCGTTGGCCCCAGCCCTGCCTCAGAGCCCTCCCCCGGCAGCAGCAGCAGCAGCAGCAGCAGCAGGGCTGGGCTCTCACGCCGAGTGGCACTGCCAGCTCTTGCCTCTCTGGCACCACTTAGCCTCTCGCCCCAGGGTCCTCCATCATTCCCGGGCCTCTTTGGGTGACAGCAGCAGAGAGAGAGAGGGAGGCACAAAGCCAGAGGGACAGGAGGCTCCATGTCTGCCAAGTCCAGCCCCACAAGCCTAGCCTTGCTTCTCCCAGCTCCCCCCCTTTCCCAGGGCAATGTCCCAAGGCCACCACTGTCCAGGACCCAGGTTGATGCTGAGGTTAGTGTCCCACCGTGGGGACAGGAGCTTCACAGAGAGCTCAGTGCTGGGGGGTGCTCAGCACCGGCCACATCCCCCAAAGCAGGGGAGGAAGGGGAGGGTTGGTGGAGAGCAGGTGGGAAGATGGAGAAATGCAGCTCAGAGGGGAGGAGAGAGGAGGCAGAAGAAGGGGGTAAAGGGCTGAGGAAGGCCCCAGGTGGAGCACGTGGGGCACGGGGGTGTGGGCAAGTGCCTGGGGGATGTGGGGCTCGTGGACATCCTCTTGCAGCTCCAGGTCCCTGGGCTGCATCCTCCAGTGACACATGCTGAGCCCCTGGGGAAGTGGGGACATTCACCCCTGGGGG